TTGGTCTGCGAGCAGGAGGTGCTGGAGGTGAGGTGCCGGTGCAGCTCCGTGCAGCTGCGGCTCTGTGCCTGCGGGACGCTTGCCCTCCTGTCCCGGGGACCCTCCACCTTCCGAGAGGAGAGAGGAGAAAGGAGAAAATCAGCCCTGAGCCCCACAGCCACTGAGAGGAGGCTGACAGAGCCCCCCACACCCTGACACCCCCCAGCAGCACCCCGACCTCCCTGGGGTCAGCCCCGTGCCCCGAGTGCTGCCCCGAGTGCAGGCAGGGATGCTCCTGCTCCCCAGGAGGGATCTGCTGCTCTTCCCACACAATCTAATTGGCCAGGCCTAATGCACTGCACAATTACCATTAACAAAGCAGAAAAATCTCTCATGGCACCTTCTGCCAGGTTTCAGATCAGCTCAAGCGTTGGGGTGGGCTCTGCAGTACGACAGGCAGAGACTCCTGGCCAAAGGCCTTGGCTTGGGCTGAGAGTCAGCAGGGATGGGGGCAAGGGGTGACCAGGCATGGAACACATGGGGCTTTCACAAAGGGGTGCTCAGGGAAGTTGGGAGAGGCCAAACCCCTCGGAGTTCAAGTGAGATCAAAGTGCTTCTTAGCACAGCACAGAGAATAATGTTTTGCAGAGCCCAGACTGCATCAGACAGGGATGGGAGCACTGTGATGACAGTCCCTGCCTGTTCCCAACGCCCTGCCCAGCCCAGAGGCTGCTCACAGTCCCCAGCGCATCCTCTGGGCCATCAGGAGGTGTGTGTGCTGCAGGGGCTCAGGCAGTACCTTAGTGCAGGGCCGTGGGGGCCGCGACTTTGGGGTCCCCGGGCGCCGGGCGCTCCCGTCCCGCTGGGCCTCGCAGCTCGGAGGGGACGGAGACAGGAGCAGCTTCTTCAGCTGCAGAGAGAAGGGGCAAGAAAAGGAGTCGGCATCGCAGCGAGGGCAGGAGAAAACACCCCTTGGCTCATGTGTGAGCACACCCATCCCCGAGCATCCCACCCGAAAACGGGGCAAAAAAAACATCAGGCAGGGAGGGTTAGGGTTAGCAGCTCCCACCCCACGTGGCCGTGGGGCAGGTGCCTGGCTGTGTCAGGGTGTCCCCACAGCATTCGGCCCAGGGATCCCAGGCAGGCTGGGGCAGTGTGCAGGAGGGAATTCACTTCCCAGAGACAGCCCCACTCGGGTCAGACACACAGGAGCTGCTGCGGCATCCCAACTTCTCACTCCATCAGCTCTGCCCTGAGGTGACAGAGGCTTTACACTGGTGTGAGTGATGGGTTTGGACAGCTCGCCGAGTCCCCGTGTGAGGCTCATTTAGCCAAAACATCCAGACAGGGCCTCGACTCATTAACGAGCTCTCAAGGCTCTTTGGAAATGCGAATCCCTGTGGGATCTGTCAGGATCTCCCCCAGCACCGTGTCACACCCATGGGCGCTGCAGCGGGGCTTTCCTCAGCTCACCCATCCCTTCTGATGGCAGGGCCAGCACGTTATCCTTCTACTGAACCCCAATTTTGGTCAGGGGGAGGGAAAAAAAACCCCAGACCCCACACCCAGCAACAACAACTGAGATTGTGCCCGTGTGGCGCTATAACCGGAGGCGACAACAGCTCAACAGCAAGACGACTGCGTAGGCACCGGGGGCTGCAGGAGAGACAGGTCTGGGGCTTGGGGCTGATAGAAAAGGGGTGCCCGGGTCAGGGTCGGCCAGGAAATGCCAGCCGGGGCACCCGAGGCTTTAGGAGAGAGGCTCCTGCGGGTGGAAGCGCCCAGCTCCCGTTCCCCCCCGCCCCTGCAACGTATACATCCTATATATACACATACAGCTCATGTGTGATATATACCCCTGCGGGGCGGGCGCGGTGGAGATGCACGCTGTCACCACTGGATGTCACTGCTCCCCTTGGCTGGGACGTGGGGACAGCCCGGGAGCGGGCTGGG